CATGGCCTGACAAGCGGTGCGTCGGTGCGCGCCCGGGATCCGAACCCGGGCCGCCAGCAGTGGAGTGCACGCACTTAACCGCTACACCACGGGGCCAGCCCCTCAGATTATTTCTGAGAAATAAATTGCTAGAAATTGCTGGATCTGAGAATCACACCCATTTATAATTGCCACATACTGACACATATTGGTAAATTTCCTCCAGGAAGCATATTGGGAGCTTGTTTCTGCTGCTTTTGTCAACACACAGAGTACATCAGTCACATCATCTTTTATCAGTCTGGTACATGAAAAATGACTTAGCACTGTCAAGACTTAACGGCTTTCAAAATTATCGTTGAGGTTGATCATTGTCATATATTTGAGGAGTTATTTGTATTTGCTTGTGTGTGACAGAAAGAGGAGATGGAGTTATCTGGTCATGTCCTTCCTTTGCCCATTTCTCTGCTGGAGCTTTTTCATGATTAGAAATATTCTTTACATATATTAAGTATATTAAAAATGGGTTATGTACTTAACCTGGTAAGCCTGTGGATTAGTAACTATTCCCATCTCCTGACTTCAGACTTCTTTTATTCGATCATGTTGCTGGTATACACAACTTCAAATTGATGGTGACATGGTGTAGACAAGTAGGAAAAGCAGATATTGGAAGAGAAATATTAACAGGAAAAGCAAAGTTCTTATTATATATGCTTGATGTTAAAGATTACGTCTTTATTTCATTAGCCTCTAAAGCTTTCTATTCAACCCCTAAAAGAATAGGTAGGTGAAAATGACATGGCATGTCGGTGATTAACTTGGTTTATGACACAGTCTTCTGAGTACCTTGACTGGAATTAAGGATATGTAAATTATTTTTCAATTTGAAAAAAAGGCACATTTTCTTGCATAACCTAAATCTTTACAAAGGAAGACTGCCATTCAGATATTTTTCTTCCCTTTTAAGGGAAAGAAATATAACACTTCTTAGCAGAACTGTGTAGGAATCACTTGGGTCTAATTTTTAGATTATGTCTTAAAGGTTTCTTTGTTCAAAATTGTGCAGAGTAATATCTCTGCTACTTTGAACTTTAAATACAACAGCCAGAGCAGTTATTATCTGTATTTCTTTTGATTAGACGAATCAAAGGAAGAAAGAAAAGAAGAAGAGGAGGAATTAAATTTTAATGAAGACATTCTGTGCCCACATGGTAAGCCAGAAGCGTAGATTTTCCGTTGTTAGGCTGACTTTAGCATATCATAAATATTGTGTTAAGTGTTTTGCTCTCTCTCTCAGGGATTAGGCCCTAATATGGCAGCCATGGTGGAGTAACTGGTTTTCTAAACCGTACTTGTTTTTGATGTTTCTGTCTCTTACCCTTTGTAACGGTTAGCTCCTGCTGTCCACTTTTCATGCCAGTGCCTCTCATACCTTTTCTTCTCTCTTTGAAAAAAAAAGGGATTTTCCCATATTTAGAGGAGAAGAAACTTTTTGTCACTTGTCATATTACAGGGCTGTCTGAGTTTGAAGGGAAGAATTTCAGTTATTTCCCATGACTGTCTTTGTCCAATTTGAACACTTTGAGAACAGCATTTGTATATTATTATTAGGGCTATTTCTTTTTTTTTTTTTT